TCCCATCCCACCCTAAATTAATTTAGAAGTTACATATCTAATTAAGAACTCCACTAAAAATATTATTTTAAGAACAAAATCACATTTAATTATAAAACTATATGGATCATGTCATGTTCATTTGATAGTCGCGGACGCTTATAGAACCACATAATATCTGTAAAATTAATAAATTATCGGTCTTGTGCGAGCAGACCCAACCCCATATACTATCACGTGGCCTATTATGATCTCATCCAAAAGCCTAATTAGACTACCCCATATGCGGCACGAGGGCTACTTCATCTTTAACTAATTATTAATTCATAAAGTTTGATCATTTCGAAATGCCATAAGACCTAGTTTCCCTAACATTGAAGTATCTTTGTACGATAGGCTCAGGAAAGTATATATGTATAATACTATCATATAGTATTACTTTACAATTAAGATGGCAATACATCAACTGTAGTAAAATTTTGTTGTGTATTTTAGAATTTCTATGATAAATGTGTTCTAAAACTTACAATTTATACCATGTATCTAATTTAATTTAATTATTTTATTTTATCTTTGTTATTTTTATTTTATATTATTATTGTATAATTTTTGAAATGGTGTAGATATATTTTGTCTGAATAAAATATTCATATATATTAGGAGATAGCTATATCTTGAATCCAATTATTATAAATTAAAAATTGAAATTATAAGATGTTTGATCCTTAAGCACTTAAATTCGCACTAAGTCAATCTGATGTTTCGTTACTACAGCATACATCTAAGTCTCGTTTGTATGTTTGTACTTATGTTAACATTAGTGAGGTTTCATAAATTTATTTGTTTACTTATCAATATATTACACGCACGGATGTATGTTTTAAGAATATTTGCTTTTGCACTCTCTATATATATTTTACGCAAAACTTAATTTTATAGTTGGATAACACCTTCTAAACATGTATTTGATCTAAAAAAAAATATTTTTGTCCATCAAAAACTTAAACGTAGATGCATATAGCTTGGTGGTAAAGGAACCTCGGCTGAGGTGCCCGCCACCCGACTTCGAATCCCGGCCACCACATAATTTACATGCGGAGTTGGTGTGGCGCCCCAGACCACTTAGCGTAACCAGGGACCCTTAAGTGGAGGCTTAGAAATCCTGTCATGGCATGGGCTTAGGCCCGGTGGGCTAGTCGATCACGCTTTGTGGTCGGATACTGGGTTATAAAAAAAAAAACGTAGATGCATAATACACTTCATTTACAACAATCCAGATATAACTAGGTCTTCGGCTCCTCTTAAGTAGTTATGAGCAATTATAACATTTATCAAAGCTCAAAAAATCAATACAAGAGCGGTCAGAAGATACGGTAGTGAACATTATTCCATATGTACTTCAACATACTTCAGACTTAGATTTCAGATGGAACATCACTGTTTTAATCTTTAATGACTAGAGTTACACTATGATGTTAAACAACCTTTTTTTATCATTTTTAGTTTACAATTTTTTTTTTTTTTTTTTATCATTTTACCTGGCAGAAGCTGATGATTCACCGGACACTATCCCATTTTATAAATTCACGTAGCTGTCATGCAACCTAAATATATTTACATGCAGTGGCGGACCAGAAAATATTTTAACCGGGATCATAACTAAGAGATACTTTTATTAAAAGGTTGTGTTTCTGCCTCTCTATATTAGTTTGTTTACATAGCTAAAACGGAAGACATGTTTTCACAGAAGAAAGAAACTATAATAAACTCTAGTAGCTATTATTAGTCACAAGGTTGTGATGCAGCAACAAACGGGACCTGAAAATGCTCATAACACATAGGTCAGGTCTCATGTTCCATTTTACGTTAATAAAACCCATAAGAGCCTTACTATATAGTAAACAGAGACCAAAAGTCAATTAGAAGCATTCGACAATCAAAGAAAGTGATCTGTTATGGCGTTAAGAGAGATTGTAATAGATGAGCGTGATTAGCAAATCGTTCATTAGCGAAACAATTTTCTGAACCGATCTTTGGAGATGACTCGGTGATACCACTGCATAAGTTTGTTTTCAACACTGAAGCTCATCCATTGCCACCTGAAAGGTTACTTTTGAAGACTTCCACTGCAAAAGAGGATAATTTGTTGAGAGACAGGAACAAAACATAACTCAAAAAGTTATTGATTTATATTGTAGATCCTTGTTTCTTTTATGTGGGTTTCTTGCAGTTATCAGTCTCTTTTCTTTGAGTACACACATAAAGATGCTAGTGTAAGTCTCCAAATTCATTAAGTAGGGAAAGGACAAGATCTGTATTAAGTTACACACATTCAAGTGCAGCTGTCAACAAAGAAAAAGATTAGAATGTGGAGTTGCAATTGACTAGATCAAGCCTATGCTTTTTCTGCCTGAATAGATTGCAGCCGTTGTTGTAACTTCATCATCTGCAAGAGTTTGGTTCCATGAGATCGTCATCACTAGTTTAAGCAAAGGAACAAATTCCAATTGGTCTCCCTTTAGTCTCTAATCATGTATACAAACAAATTCTCATATGGTGCTAAGTCCATTTTTACGAGACAGAGGAGCGCAGCAGTCACTGTATATTTCTAAAGCTTAATTAGTAAGTTGAGCATCATTGCATCAATGTACTTCTTCCTAAGCTGGTGATTCTTCGCGATTTCTTAAATACGAAACTAATAAAGTTTGGCTAGAGAAGATCTCTGGATTTTGGTGAGATCATCTCGAAGAGCCACTGATGATTAACTCATCTACTTCGTCACTCCATTATAAGTCTCACTGTTTTGAAATGGGCTGAAAACCCCGTTTGTTTTACTTGACTCTTTATTTGTCCAATACATTTTTTTCAATAATTATATATTTTTGTGTTTATACAAGTATTAAAATATTTTGGACCAAATATAGCATTCCTAGTTCGAACTTTCAAGATTTGGGTGATGCGATTCAAACTTTAAAATTGTGGGGAAGTATAACAAAGACTAGAGCTTTTGTGTACGTAGTGATATATGATACTTCTCAGTATAAATAGATCACCATCCCTTTTACTCTTTTAGTTTTAGATACCTACTTATATATCACTTGTCAAGTAAAAGTTTTGAATACCAATACAAAAACAGTAAAACACATGTGTCATATGTTGATAAATGCTTACGTAAATTAATAAATCAACATGTGTCATAAGATTCATACCAAATATGGCTTCTATTATTGATAAATTTCCACAAATCCAACTGCACCGCAAATCTCTATATCAAAAGTCTATTTACTCACGATGAGCAAGTTTAACATTAACCACAATCTATGCAGCTCCACCATCAAATACATCTGTCACATTGAAAACATCACCATTGTTCTCTACACCATCCTCAAAAAGTAATCAAAGTTATTTCATCAAATATTCAACAATAAGTCATCAAAATTTGTGCTTCTCACCATTTAATATCTCATTTTGTTGAAGCGACTACGTTTGATCAAGTTTCATATTGTAAAACAAGTGAACTACTACTACTGTTTGGAAGAGATGAGCAGTAACAATCCTTTCATATTCATGTTGTCTCCAACTTGCCCTCATATAATGAGCCTTCAAATAGTTCAAAATACTCATCTTGTCCAAGTTCAATGTCATATTATGAGCCTTCAAATAGTTCAAAATACTTATCTTGTCCAAGTTCAATGTCTTTCCACGAAGGATTATTTTAGCATTTCCCACATTCTTCCACTTTCCTATAAGTACTGGATTGTAAATGACTCGGTTTAGTAGAGAATTGGCTTTGAGTGGAGTACATGTGACAAAACAAAAAAACAAAAATTGTCAGATCGGAAGAAGAGAGGTTGAATTCCCTTAAGAGCACCAAATGGATCTTCTTGTAGAGATCAAAGTCAACAATCAATGAACCTTGTAATGCTTTGAGATCATTGGTCAACTTAGGATCAAAAATTCATCAACACTTCCTTATCTGTTGGAGCAAATCAAACACACTTTGGAGCAATCATCTATCAGCAAAAACAAAAACATATAAGTATCTCTAAAGCATATGTTATGAACTAAATTTGTGCACTTAGATATGTTAAGTGATGAATCCACCACTATATGATTTGTGCCAAAATAAACATGTGAGCAATTACAGAAATACACAATAACTAAAAACTCAAATAAAGTTTTCATTAAATTTTCAACTAGTCATACTAAGGTGAAAAATTCATTTGATCGATTTTAATTTGAACCGACTAGATATTCAACCACTCAAAAATTACCAATTGGATTTGCAATTGAAATGGATAGTTCAAATAGATAACTGAAGCTGAAAAAAAAACTAAAATAAGAAAGTTGTGAATTGTTGTTTAATATATAAGTTTATAACCACCTTGTTAACCAAACAAGGAATTGGCAAACAATTTTCAGTTTTGTCTAAAGTTTTCATTTTCTACATAAATAAGCACTTGACAAATTTATTGTTAAATATATAAGTTTATAGCCACCTTGTTTTTATTTTAATCTGGGTTTCACATATATCATGCAAAATACAAAATCATATATGTGAATCATAATCTAATAAATTATATCGATCAACATCTATTTTTATGCCAAAAACTAAAATAACTAGTCTAAACATAAAAAAAAAAAAAATAATATATATATATATATATATACTCAATTATGTGTAACTAAATTGTAGAAGTAGGCGTGCACTTTGCAAAAAAAAAAATCAAATTTTCTTTTGAAGAAGGTTAATGTTGGCTTATTTTAAAGCATTTAGTTATTAGTATCATTTCACCGTTTGTAAAAATCCAACTTCGCCTCAATGGAAGAAACACATTGTTGATTCTTGTGATTTTTTTGACAATCTTACATTCAGTAGCAAATGGTCATAGATTAAATCTACTTTATTCACAACCGAAAAAATAGCTTTGGGTTTTTCTAATATTCACTAGACTACCAAAATAAGACTTGTATAAAAACTATATGTTTAAAAATATTACCATTTTAGATATAACATGGAGGAAATCCCTTTATTTCAATGGCTTTATGAAGAGTTTATTAATGTTTTCACATCAGGAGATCTGAGTTTCGAAACCCAAGAAAAGCAAAGTATAAAAAATATAACATGCAAGAAACATATTGGTAATTAGTTCACCGGTATCTAATCAAAATGAATCATTTAATTGTAATATGTAGTACAAACAATATTTTTCCCTCTTTTCGTCTCTTCATTTTATAGCTAACCGGATTAACTTGACTTAACAACTGAATTACTACTCTAACAAACCACCTTGGTCTTTGTCAAATGACCAACCAAGCTAACACCCGAGCCAAATCACATTTCTTTAAGTTGTGGTCGGTCCAATCGGTCCAAAATCTTGAAATGGCCAAACCTACACATCATTTGATACCACAATTAAAACCATATTGATTGCCAAATAAAACACAATTAACACTTTTTGATTCGACTAATAAGACAATACGGAGTTAGACATATATATACCCTCCAAAGCACTTTGCCTTGAATAAGACCATAAGGTAAAGGACCAAACATTCTTGAGTCTCTCGAGTTCTGAGTATAGTCACCTTGCACCCAGACATGCCCTTTAGGAACCTAAACAAAAAAAATAACAAAATAAAATGACCGTAAACAACATCCTTATAGCCAATGTCAAGGGAGAAACTAAAAGCAAAACTGTATGTACACAAATAGCATTAACATTTAAGTTTCATAAAGTACAAAGCTTCCAAGACTCGTTTACAACTATGACAACCTAAATTTCCGACAATGTACAACCCAATTTTCCGACAAATGTAACTAGTCTGTTCAAACGTTCAAATCTAAATTCAAAAGCGTAGTGAAAGAAGAAGAAAAAAGTTAATAAAACAACATACCACGATGGTTTTTGATTCATCACTCTTCTCTGGATCAGCCACAAAGCTAACACAATCTCCTTCAAGTCCAATCACTCTCTTGATCGGAGTCTTGTTAGGGTCTTCCGGAGACTGCAACACGACGACGTCTCCACGACTCAGTTTCCGAGACCGCGTGGAGATTCGTTCCGCCAGTACGACATTCCCCGAAGGATGAAGCGTCGGGATCATGCTCGGACCAAAAGCCTTAGCTCAAAAAAAACAGAACAAACAACTGAGACAATCTGTCTCAATGGTTTATTAGATTTAACGAAAGGAAAGATGAGACTCACGTAAGCAGGGAAGGCGAGATAGTTTGTGGTCACATGGAGAAAGGAGTAGACTTTCGCGACGAGCACACCGCTTTTCATGGCTTGTTGATAAGCTATGTTCCAGAAGGAAGATGAAGACCCCATTTTGCTGAGTGAATCGAACAAGTGGGAGATTCAATTTATAATCTAATTAGCTGAATTCATCACGAAACAAGATCGATTGAGGACAGAGAACACAGGACGATGATGATGAAGAAGAATATCGAGTAAAAGGAAGAAAGACAGAGAGATAAACCGGTTAGGGTTAATTCAAATTGATCGGTATACGGAAACCGAACCGAGTGGCCGATTAAAATACATTAAGAAACTGAAACCAAACCGAATTGACCAAATTTCGGTTCGGTTTTTCTACTACTCGTAAGTTGAAAGTGATAGCCGACAAAAGACAAAAGTAATGTCCCCTTGAGCCGAAAAGAGGAAAAGAGTGATGGATGGCACTTGCAATGTTTTATAACTAGGTGTTTTGCCCGCACATGCGGGCTTAATTATCTTTTAATCAATTTAAAAATTATCAAAATAAATAATTATTTGCATCCAAAAAATTTGACCGAAAACATTAAACTTTTCTATATGATAAAGTTTTTCACAAATTAAAAAAAAAATATTTTTTTCCTTTAAAACTTTGAAAAATCTAAAGTCTATTACATTTCTTCTTCATTGATAAAAAATATAGAAATCTATCTTTCCATTTGAAAAATTGAATCGATAAATATACATTCAAAAATTAATCGTACAAAAAAATAATATTAGTTTGGATAATAATACAATATATTTGAATTTATTTTTATCAAACAAGTATTTTCTTTCTTTTTTAATGATATTTTATTTTATATGATTAATTCATGTTTAAGGTTTAACTATATAAAATATAAATATAAATTTAATTTAACCTGTGAGTTCAGAAAAATAACTTCACAAATATATACATATACATATATCATTATATTATATTATATTATTATATTCTTTTAATAAATAATTATGTATTATATTTTTTAATTTTCTCTTTTGAATTATATACAATTAAAAATTTTATTTTATGAACACTTATTTATGTGTTTTTTATTTTTTTTAATTAAATATATTTTCTGGATAACAACACAATATATATAAGAATTATCTTGTTCTTTTAAATATATATTTAGATTATCGATAATTCTTATCATTATTATTAATTTAAATCATTTATCTAATCAAATAAGTATTAAATTTGTTTTTATATTTGGCTAATTTATATATTTTATTCATTAAGGGTATAATCGATATTAACCACTTCAACTTTTAACGTGAGAGCTCCATTGCGAAAAATCACTTCGCAAATAATAGTATAGATTTGTAAAAGTTATCAGAAGACCAAATGCTTTTAAAAATAATAGAATACATTATAGTTCATGGCTAGAAATGATTACAGTGTATATAAGTTCAACCATACAAATCAAAAGCTCCACAAGTACACCTTGTACAAATACACAAAACGAAACAACATATATATATATAGAGAGAGATCCAACATACTATTATAAGAAAGAGAAGTCCAGATAGCAGTGGACCGGTTTACCTCCCAAGAAGAGTTGCAGTAGTGATAAGCATTCAAGATTGGTTTGAGAAATGTCCAACGCCAAGTTTGTGAGCTTCGAGTTTAAGTGACTTGAGGTACTGAACAGCTTCATCAAGAACGGAAGCTGTATTCATCTCTTCTCCTCCAGGGACTATTCTCCTCAACATTCCCATCATCTTCTTCATCTTCTTCCTTCCTCCTTTGCTATTATAGCTAAAGCTTGAGCAACATGATTCAGCTGATGATGTATTTCCATATTCCCTGGAAGAGTTATTACAACCTGTGCTGCTGACCTCTTCTGAATCACCACCATCCTCATTCTCATCATCATCTTCTTCATCAGTGCTCAAAAGAGCATCAATCTCATTAGGATCTTCTTGGTGAGAAGAGGAAGTTACTTCTTGGCCATAGTTACCATAACTTCCCTCAACATACTCGTTCTGAAACGTGGAAGCTAATCCGGAATTCACGAGCCTAGGTGTCAGCTCAGGATGGTACATCACTTGGCTGCTGCGGTCATACGTTTGGTCGAAAATGACAAAGTTCTTTGGACAGACCGGAGAGGGTTGAAGTTCAACACCATGGAATGGTAACTTGGCACATGGTGGGAACAAAGCATCAAAGGATGACGCTGATGCATACGGGTCGTCGTTCATGTTTCCCTCAGAGAAGTAGGGAAACTGATTGTTCTGCATTAGAGAAGCCCTTGCAAAAGCTAAAATGTGAAACACACAAAGGGGAAAATAAAACAAGAAGCTTCCCCCCCACCACAGAACAGAGTTTCAGATTGTCTTCAGAATACTAAACTCTTAATATCTAACAATAACTCTTTTCGAAATCAAAAGTAGACAGCCGCCAAAAAAAAAACCCAAATTTCCGGAAACTCTAGAAACCAGACTACGTTACAGGCTTAAGCAACTGTCTGAAATATTCTGCCTGCAAAGATTTTTAAAAAGGAAAGGTTAAACATTAAAGTAGCTATAACCTTGTGGAACATGAAGGAGGGGCATGTTATGTACCTGGCAAACTTGAACGGATTGGTAATTAGCAATGAAACATGTAGTCATCATCAAGGTTCCTATTTCCTTCAGTGATCTGTTTCCGTTCTTGTTTCCAACAATGCACATTCTCACACTAAAATATAGGCACAATAACAAAGAGCTATTCCCCGGAAAACAATGCCTGCAAAACAAGAAAGGGACGTTCAAATTCAATAGTATTAAACACAAGAAGCTTTGAATAGGGTGGAGATGAGAAACTTGGTGTTCCACATGGAACCAATATGCAAGAAGACAATCTAAAACTAGAAACCAACATAATATATATATATAACACAACAAGATATGCAAAGATAAAGGCCAAATGCTCAATCCAGAGGCAAAGCAAAAGAAACTACATTCTTAATTAAAGACTCTACAAGGTAACTGCAGAAACACAAGATGTGACAAAGATACTCACCTGAAAAGGATGGAAATTTACAGAATAACGAGGAAAAAGACAACGAGACGAGTGCAGGT